TGGACCTGGAGAAGCCTGAAGAGAAGCAGCCCCCACACCACGTGCTGGCCCGAAACCTCCTCTACCCAGGGTCCCACACCGTCCGCTTCCCCGTGCCAGATGAAAAGGTGCCCTGGGAGGTAGGAGCTGAGGTGGTGGGACTGGAAGAGGATGGGGGCTGGAGGAGGATGGGAAGTGGGAAGGGGAACAGAGCCATTGTTGCAGTGAGAGGGAGAAGTATCATACTTGGGAACTGCTGGTGTCTCCAGCCCTGGGATGAGTGGCTTCTTGGAGACACTGCCAGTTCTCAGTGCACTGGAGCTGGGTCTCCGATGCACAGAGGGTCCAGGCATGGCCAGAGATGCTTCCCTAGCAAAACACTCTGGCTGTGCTCAGTGAAACAAGACTGGGTTTCACGTGGGGATGTCTGAAGGTGTTCTGAATGGACAGGCACATCTGGGCTGCCAGTGGGGTTGACACAACCGTATGCCCTGCAGGTGGATTTCCAGCTCTATGACCCTCCTGCCTATTCAGCTGACCACAGGGACACAGCTGTGCAAGACCCCTTCAGCCCGTGAGTATCTCCTGGGAGGTCCCTCCCCATCCAGCTTCCCACCTCTGTCCCATCCTAACACATGGCACAGCCTGCCCTCACTGCCGGGCTGTCTCCTGTGCCCAGCTCCTTGGAGTCTCTCCTGAAGATCAACTACAACGCCATGGATGGGCTGATAGACAGGCAGAGCTTCCACGGCCTCTATGCTGTGCAGGACGGACTGCCACTGTGAGTGCTCCCAGCACAGGGAGGTGGGTGAGGGGCAGTGGGGCAGTGTCTGGGTCATTGATGAAGATGCTGAAGAGCACCAGTCCCAATCTGTGCCCGTGGCAGGGGGTTGGAATTGAATGATCATTAAGATCCCTTCTAACCCAACCTATTCTGTGATTCTATGAATTAGGGAGGGTGGTCCAGGGCTTTGGACAGCCTCCAGCCTGCTTGCTCTCTCCCACCAGGAATCCCATGGGCAGGACGGGGCTGCGCGGTCGTGGGAGGCTGCACTGCTTTGGGCCCAACCATGCCCTGCACCCAGTTGTGACCCGGTGAGCATGTAGGGGTGCTGGGGACAGAATGGAGAAGGGGGCATGAAGCCATTTCAGATCAAGGAAAAGGAGCTGTACACAGCTTGCAGCATAACACTGGCCTCTTTCACAGCTGGAGAAGGAACTTGGATGGGTCCATTATCAGGAAGAGCCTGAAGAAGATGCTGGAGGTCCTCGTGGCCCAGTATCCCCTATCAGACGTCTGGGCACTGCCTGGGGTAAGAGCCACAGCAGATCAGCTCCAGCCACATTCTCAAGCTATTGGCAGAGAGCTCCAGGAGCAGCAGTGGGTGGTTGAACATCGCTGAGGGCTTTTGGCAGCAGGAGGTGGGAGGGAGGCCCCACTGCTGCCTGCTCCCCTCCACCTGAGCCTGGGGCAGCCATGGGATGAGCCATGCTGGTGGCAGCTGGGCTGTGAGAGCTGTTTGGGTGCAGGGCTCACTGGAGCCGGGTGAGACGCTGCCTCTAAAGCTCAAGTGGATCCTGCGTCGGGAGTTCTGGCCTCAGTTCCAAAACCTGCTGAAACAAGGCACTGAGGTACGGGCACACAGAGCTCTTGGTGCTCTCAGAGTGGTGGTTATGGCTCTGCTAATGCAGCAGTACTTCCCTGTGCACAGATACACAAGGGATACCTTGATGACCCCCGCAACACAGATAACGCCTGGGTTGAGACTGTTGCCATCAGTGTGCACTTTGACAATCAGAACGACGTGGAGATGAAGCGGCTGAATTCGGTAAGAGCCTCTTGCCTCTGCAGCTCCCTGCACTGGCTCCTGGCAGACGTGGGACAGGTAAGCTCGCCGTGCAAGGCTCCTCTGAACAGACTGCCAGGCAGTCATCTTCCCTGGAGCTGTTCCAGAACCTTGGAGATGAGGGATGTGGTCAGTGGGCATGGTGGGGTGGGCTGGGGTTGGACATGGGGATCTTAGTGGCCTTTTCTAACCGTAGTGATTCTATGAATTCCTTTGGCTCCAGGCCCAGATCTCACTGTCATCAGGAGTAAGCTTCTCCAGCTGTGTGTAGGGAAGGGGGAACACAGGGCTGCCCATGGGGTGGCACCACAGCAGGGGCCCCAAAACCTCAGGGTGGGAGGCTGGCGGTGCTGCTGAGTGCAGCTGGCCCTGCCACAGCACACACGTGTCCTGCTCCCCTTCCAGTTCCTCCAGGGCTGCGACCCGGAGCTGTGCATCCGCTGGCAGGTGCTGGACAGGAGGATCCCACTGCACGCCAACCACAAGCAACTCCTGCAGAAAGTCTCCACCCTGCTTGGTGCCTACTACTGAGTTCTCAGGCACAGCCAAAGCTGCTGCAGCCCTGGGCCAGGATCTGGCCATGTGAGGCCGTGGGCTGCCATTGGAGGCCAGGCAGCTATCACAGCCACCAGCTCACCCTTAGTCACCCACTGTCTGCGTGGGCACTGCATGTGGGCATACAGGGCATCCATAAGGCAGTTCTGCTCGCCAGTCTGCTCTCTGAGCCCCAGGAACCTCAGCACAGTTCCTGGAGGGTTGCTCAGGGTCGCTTGCAAGAAGCTGCCCTGCAAGTTGCTGTGACATCTGTCCTCATATCTCCAGTTGCCTCAGACCCAGTGATGTACTGAGCTGCGATCCAACACTTCTGAAGGTGAGAGCAACTCTTGGCTCACACACCTATGGCTTTATACCTCCGCACAAGTCCACTCTCTCAAGTCTTCTGTGATCCTACAAGTGTATGCTGAGCACTGCATCGTAGCTGATATCCTTTCATCTGCTAAATGGCACCTGCCTGCCCCACCCCCTTGGGCACATGGACAGAAAAGGGCAGCTTGCTGGGACACATGGGGGTCTGTCCTTTGCAAACACTGGGGCAAGTGGGGACACAAGCAAGGACACATGTGCATCCATCTCACACATCTCTGCTCACCTTTTCTGCTGCCTGCCATTGGGACAGCAAGGCACAGTGGAGACACTTCCCAGGGCCTCTCAGTAGCTCAGAACAGCCCCATGGAGGTGGATTATGCCTAGGATTGCTTAGGGAGGGATTTCAGCTCCCCACATTCTCCCCATGGAGACACAGACACGGCTGTTCTCCCCCACTGGTGGCCACTGCAGCACAACTGTGGTTTCACCAGTGAGGCACTGGGCTGGGAGAAGGGGGCCAGCTGGTAACGTAGTCAACGCTGCTCAATAAACAGTGTATTGAACAACTTGAGGCTGGCAGCTTTAAACACAGCGCCCCAGTCTTAGAGCACAAATCCAACCCACACGCAGACTCACCCACGTTATGAGCTTTGGGCTTCCTGGATCCCCCCCGCTCCCACTGCCCCTTAAAGAGATACTCAGCTGCTCCTCACCAAGCTCCAGCTCTGAGTCATGCTGCTGTGCCACACTTTGACCTTAAAAAAGCCACCTCCAAATCACTGCTTGGCAAACTCCTTGGAAACGTGACTTGTACCAGCTCATGGACCAGATGGGAAAAGCAAAAGAACTCCAGGTTTTGTTATTTAAAACCCCAGTGATGACTAAGCCAGCTGGGTGTGCGGGGAATCTGACTCACTGTGTTTTTAACACTTGGGGTTGATGAGATGGGAATTCATTGCTGCTGCTCCCCAGCAGCAAATCATCACATCCCATGTGGAAGCTGGCTCTGGGCTGGAGCAGAAGCTCCCAGGCTGTGCTCATGTCAACACTCCATCCTACAACACCCCGTGTGTGTGCTGGTGGACCCTGACCTGAGCCCCATGCAAGGCATCACTGGCCCCACAGGAGGAGGACATGGTCCTGGGTGCCAATTTCTCAGTTGAACGCTGCACGTAGGGAAAGCCCTCGGGGTTTGTACTGCACTGAGAGCTGGGCTTCTAGGGAATGATGTAATCGGGGACCCAGGAAAGCCCTCCCAGGTACCTCCTCCTCCCCTAGCTCATCCTGGTCTGCAGAAGTTCCCTCCTCCAGGCTTGACCCCTTCTGTCCCTGCCATCCTGCAGCTCCAGGCTCTGCAGTAAGAGCCCCCCCAGCCCCTTTGCAGGGGGTCACACCGCCCCTGGAGGCTCCAGGAGTCCTGAACTGGAAGCCTGGAATGCTTAGGGGACTCTGGGTTTCAGGGCATCGGCATAGCAGGAGGAGGTCCCATCCTCATACCTTCCCTGCAGCCCCTGCTGGTCCTGTAGAGCCCAGGGATGACCAAAGAGACATGGGGGGGGGAGGGGTGGGGAGGTCATGGACCAAAGGAAGAGCTTCTAGTGCAAGTAGAGCAGCTCCAGTAGCCACAGCCTGTGGGGGATGCAGCAGTTTATTTGAGCTCTGGTTAAGCAAAAGATGCCCCCAGATAAAGGCAAGGAAAAGCATCCCCAACCCTGTGCAAAGGGGTGCACAACCAGCATCAGACCGGTTGGTGGATGCTAGTGATGTGCTAACACACATCTCCAAATCCCTTTGAACAAGTGCCAATGTCAGGGTAGCCTGCCCTGCCACCTGCACCATGCTGGCAGTGACGCAACACCTGCCTGCCAGCTGCAGCTGCAGCACATATCCATGGCGTTGCAGGATGTACACACATTGCTCAGTCTGCAGACACAGCCTGCAGCCAGACACAGAGTGTGGGGCAGCATTAGGCCCATGGGCCCTGGCACACCGTGGCCCCAAGCACTGGGCAACCAGAGCCAGCCTGAAGCCAGCATTTCCCCAACTTCTCATACATCATTTCCTCCCAACACCATGCACCTGATCCTGCGGCACGTGCTCCGCTCAGGCTTCTTCTCCCCCAGCTTTGCACAAGCTCCAGCCACCATAGCAGAGCTCTGGGACCCTTGGCTGGAGATGGCTGACCTGGGAGCTCCTGTCCTTCTGTCCTGTGGCACGCACAGCCCCACGGGTACTGCAGCTGTCCCCAGGCTCTCAACGTGCCTCGGTCCGTCCTCACCTCAGTGGCCAGCCCACTCCCATCCTGGCAAGGAGCAGAGTGTGCCTCGGGCACCTCAGGTGGTTTTCAGCTTGAGCACTTTGGAAAGGGGCTCCTTGGCACTGGAGTAGAGGAGGTAGGAGCCCTCTGTGGTGTTAAATGCCTCCCAATCTCTGCAGCCAACAGTGGGAAGGCGGTGAGCTGCCACGAAGCCTTCGTAGCCTTGCCACCTGTATGGGAAGGACAGTCAGCTGGGGGCCTTGCACCTTCTTCCATCATCCCACAGTGGTTTGGGGGTGGGAGACACCCTTTGTGCCTGGAAGCCTGGCAGAAGTGGGGAGCACAGGCAGCAGGATCCCCCTGTGCCCATTCTGTGCCCTCTCCAGACCATCCATCCCCTTGCTGTACCCATGTCCCCACACTGCCCCCAGACACATCCCAACTCCTGGGCTGTGCCAGGTTTGGAAGACAGTTCACCCAGCCCCAGCCATGCAGCAGTACCTGTAGATAATGCTGTTAATGGAGAAGGTGAAGCCATCAAAGGAGTTTGCTACCACCAGAAAGTAGTCGTCTCCCACCGAGAAGAACTCCCAGTCCAGGGCACTAGAGGATGAAGCAGGCAGAGGTGGGTGAGATGTGCTCAGCCCACACTGAGCTCTTGCACCTGGCCATCCTATCCACATCTCGTGCTTCTCCAGCTCCACTGGGATCTGCTGCCCAGGACCTGTCTCCCATTGCCCTCCTCCTAGTCCCTTTGCGCAGGTGGTGTGCAATCCCACATGAACCCTCCAAGAGACCCCTATATATTTTGGGGTGTTCAGGGGAAGGCCATGAGCAATACCCCAGCTCCTTGCACAGGTACCTGTAGGTGAGGAGGTCCTGGAATTTGACAAACATCTGGGCAGTGATGTTCAGCTCATAGATGGAGGAGTTGATGGCATAGAAGTTAGAGGGTGCTGGAATCCTGCTGTCATAGCTATGGCTGTTAGCCACAGCCAGGAAGACTCTGTCCCCAATGTGGAAGACCTCCCAGTCAGCAGCCCCAAAAGTCTGTGGAGAAAGAAGCCACCTGAGAAGCTGTCATGGACATGGACTAACATACGTGATGCAAGTGCTGGGAAGCAGTGGGACCTGCTGGAGGGGCAACAGGGAGATGACCTGCTCTTAAGCCCCCAAGGAAAAAAGATTCATAGAATTCAGAGAATCATTAAGGTTGGAAGAGACCTGTAAGATCATCAACCCCAACCCACTCCACCATGCCCACTGCCCATGTTCCTCAGTGCCACATCTCCGTGACTCTGGAACACCTCCCGGGGTGGTGACCCCACCACTTTCCAGGGCAGCTGTGCCAGTACCTCACTGCTCTTTCTGAGTTTTCCCTCATATCTAAATTCCCTTGGTCAGTGCATTGCTGCCTTTCCAGAAGTCTAAGAGGATCAGCCTCTGAAATTATTCCCCCGCTTGTCCCAGCCTAGAGGAGGAATGGAGAAGCAGCATTTGGCTGGTGGATGACCTTACCAGGATGGACTGGAAGAGTTGGAAAGAGCCACTGAGCCAGATGTAGATGTGAGAATAGATGTTTGTGGATGTGCCATTAAACGTGTTGGCCACAGCCAGGAAGGAATAAGGCCCAATAGCAAAAAATTCCCAGTCATAGGCTCCAGAGGTTGGGATTGTCTGGTTGGTTTCAAAGAGTCCCGTGCTGGGGTTCCACCTGTATATCACACTGTCTATGTTGTGGTTATTCCCTGAAGGAAACAGAGATGTGCAATGAAGAACATCTAGTTTGCAAGAGAAACGAGACTCAGCCAAGGGTCTGACTATACAGTATTTCAGCTCTGGAGGGAGTGAGGGTGGTCCTTAGCCCTGCTTGATGTGTGTGCCCCCCAGAGGGCCCTTCTCTGGTGCCAGTGGAGCTGATGTCCAGCAACAGACTGGTCGGGGGCCCAGACTGGGCTTGGACTGGTTCTGAGAACAATGGCTGGGTACCTTCTCTGTGGTTGACCACTGCAAGGAAAGCCTCTCCCTCAATGACAAACGCCTCCCAGTCCCTCGCGCTGTGCGTGGTGATCCTCTGATAGGTGACGAACTTCTCCTTCCTGTGGCTCCACTTGTATATTACAGAGAACTCCTGCCCCTTGTCATTCTGCTCAAAATTTGCCACTGCTAGGAAGATCTGAAAAAGGACAAGGCAGGACACTTCAGTTTTTCTCCATTTTAGATGTGGCCCTGAGCATTCTGCAGGCAGCACAAAGTGCCCCAGAGACACGGTGGGGTCTGCAGAGACCCATGGAGATGGGGCAGGGATGAGGCTTTGCTCTCATTGGCCTCCACAGCTGCCCAAGGCTGGGCTGAGGACCAGTACTTTCATGGCAGGTGTGGCAGCAGCAGCCCACCCAAGTGTCCCAAGCAGGGTGACAGCGGTGCCTTGGAGCTCAGTGGGGACAAGGATGCATAGCTGAGTGTGACACCATGCTGGGAGGGTCAAGATCTGAGCAACAAAGTTTCCCACGAGGAAAAGTTGATCAAATTACAAAAACAAAAATCACAGCTATAATAATCAGAGTCATGATGATAACGGTGCCCTGAAAGAAAATATTTTCCAGGCCAAAAGAACTCCACTGCTTTTGGCATTTTGGGCTGCTTCTTTCATGTAAAGCCCAAAGACACACTCAGAAAAAGAAGGGATTTGGTTTTCTTCTAAACTTTCTCTTTGGAAACAAATGCAGACCCAAACCCCTGACCTGAGCATGGCTCCAGGATCCCTCCAGGTGGCTCTGTCTCCCACGGGCCTGCCAGCTCCCCCCATTTCCTTTCCTCATGCCCTCACCCAGCATTGCTGCAGATTTCCCAGCCCCTTGGAAGCAGACAGTGCCCTGGAGGAAGCTGGGCGAGGAAGCTAATGTTGGGCACCTGATATTTGGTCCAGCCCTGAAATAACCTCCCAGGTAGCCTCACCTTTTTGCCTATGGTGAAATACTTCCAGGACTGAGCTTGGTAGGTGGGGATGTTCTGGTAGAGCACAAACTTCCCATCGGTCCACTTATAGATGGCTGATCCAGGGGGGCTGTGCCGGTTGGCAGTGGCTGCAAACAGTCCAACCCTCGGGATGGTGAAGACCTCAATGCCCATCGTCTCAGAGTTGGTCACCAGGTCCTGGTATTCTTCCACGTAGTCCAGCCGCTGCTTGACTGGGAGACCACAAAAAGGAGTCAGGTTCAAACTCAATAGCCCTGCAGTTGGACTCAAGTGATCCCTGTGGGTCCCTTCTAATTCAGGATAATCTATGAATGACTGGAGCCCTTTTTGCAGGGCCTGGTTGCCCCATGACTTTGTGCAGCAAGGCCACCACAGCTGGAAGGACACGGGGTCATTGTTATTATTGGAGACATTGGTGTCTCCAGTTGTGATGAGCACAGAATCACAGAAAGGCTTGGGTTGAAAGGGACCTCAAAGACCATATAGTTCCAACCCTGCTGCAGCACCCCCAGCGTGGGTGACACAGCTCTCAGTGAGCCTGGCTGTCCTGCCTGGGCAGACAGACCTGGGTCCTGCCCCAAGGCGCTGGCGTGGTGAATCCCTGGCCCTGGAAGAGCTCCCCCTGCCCCACAGAGCTGGGTGCTCACAGCATGAGGCTGATCATTACCTTCCAGCATGGAGATCCAGGCACTGCCGTCGCAGAGGTACAGCCCTCTCCGGGAGGCATTGAACCAGAACTGTGCCTTCTCCTGCTTGGTGCAGGGCGGACGGGACCCAAGGGTCACCTTCATGTTGGTTCCTGGGCACAGATGGAACAAGGTGGGTACCCTTAGGATGGATGATAGAGGAAGAACTGGACGTGCCACTCTGATGGGCATCAGGGAACAGGGGGACGGCATCCCGGCCTCAGGCCAGAAACCTGGCTGCTCACACCCCCAGGAATCAGCAGTGTGAGCCCATCACTGCCACGTTACCCAGGGACATCAAATCCCATCTCACCTGCTGGACCCCAGTCCCCTTCTCCCTGCAGCTGTGCCCACCACCTGCCCCGGTTCCCCTACCCTTCCTTGTCTTCCTGAGCTCAGAGCAGCCCACAGCTCCCTACTGACCGTGTGGGTACTTCAGCACCTCGTTGCTCACTGCCTTCACCGGGACGTCCTGGAGAACCGCAGGGATGGAAAGTGCTGTGGCTTTATAGTTCAGGGCTGTGCAGATGCGAGGGGTGGCATCGGCTCCTGGCAGCAGGACGAGCTGCCGCAGCAAGCCCTGCAGAACGGGATGGGCAGCATGTCCAGTGGGACTGAGGGATGGGAGCTGCAGGAATACATCACCCGAGCTTCCCACCAGAGGTCCATTCGCTTCCTTCCCCCCTGGGTTGCATTTTTCAGATGCCTGTTAGGTACCAAAACCTCTGCCCTGGGGCAATGTAACAGCTGGCAATGCAGGTGCATTGGCACAGGCTGTGTGAGCCACAGGTGACTTTCCCTGCCACCATGTTTCCCAACCACCGGTCGGGACTGGACACAACCCTTCTATCAGTAAGAATGGGCCATCATCTGCTTTGTGCCTCCGAATGCCACCAGCCGTGCCAGCAGCCTAACAGAGGTGCCCCCACTGCCACGTGTGGGGTCCCTGCCTGGGGACCTCCATCCCACAGCCATCCCGATGCCCACCAGGACCCTACCGTGAAGAAGCCTTTCCTCCTCCTCCTGTTGCCCAGGTAGAAGCTGGCTCTCCTCACCGACAGAGAAGCGGGAAACGGCGTCTCGACCACCCTGCGATGGGCAGAAGGCAGCATCACAGCAGGGCCGGAGGAGAACCCCGTCTGCTGCATCCCCACAGCCCAACCTACACGTCCTTGGGGAGGCCGCAGTCCACCGACAGCGAGAAGGACGGTCCGGAGACGGCCAGCACCAGCGTGTGCCAGCGGCTGTCGGCCAGCGAGACGTTGCGGAAGGTGACGCGGTTCTGCCAGCCGCCGGCGCGCTCCGGGCTCCAGAAGAGGAAGTGCAGCTTGCTGGGCGAGTAGCGCAGCCCCAGCAACACGCCGGGGCTCTCCTCTGCCATCAGCGTGAAGATGTACTCGTTCCTCTGCGGGAGGACGCGGCGCTGAGGCCGACACGCTCCACGCCCAGCCTCGTGCCCGACGCAGGGCCAGGCCCGCCGGCAGCGCTCACCTTGGTGGGGACGGCCAGCACCCGCAGGGTGACGATGATGGAGAACTCCTCCGGGAAGCGGTCGCAGTGCAGGAAGAGGCGTGAGGCAGGGAAGGCCAGGGCGCGGGGCCTCGAGGCGCGGAGCTGGAGGCCGCTCAGCCCCTGTGCCTGCAGCACCCGCACGCCGCGGGCCGGCCCGCTGCCGGGGAGCAGCTCTGCCAGCACGTCCAGCGGGCGCAGCTCTGCGGGAACACGGGCGGGCAGGGTGACAGCGGCCCCAAATGCAGGCTGCCAGCCGGGCACGGGCTCTCCCGGCCCAGCCCTGGCTGCACACATGCACACGTGCTTCCCTGGCAGAGCCTAAAAACCCTCATTAAGTAATTATCCCTTTTCCCAGAGGAGAAAACAACACGCGCAGCCCCGGGGCATCATCCAGATGGAAAAACTAGCAGCAAGAGACAGAGCTCTGCTTGCACACATCTGGGAAGCAGCAGCTCCTGATCTGAGCCATGGCCCTACGCTCGTCACATTTCCCATCGACGGGCTTTGGGCTCCTAACTGTGCTACAGCCTGGACTGTCTGGGCTCGGCTGGCCAGCACACGTAGATGCTTTCCTGCTCAGCCTACAGTAGGGAACCTGCATCAGTAGATTGGACTCAACGACCTCCAGAATTCCTTTCCAAACCCTATGATTCCCCCCCAGTTCTGGGGGGAAGCACAACCTGCCCTGGGCACCTCGCTTCAGAAAGGATCAAAACAAAATACACGTTTCCCACTCCACCCCAGCAAAAAGCACGGGCTGAGTTCAGTCCTGGGTTTGCAGAAAGGTTTCAGCCCCAGGATGAGCCTGCAAGTGGGAAGAAGGGCTGGAGGTGGGCTGGAGGCTGTGCCCACATTCGGCAGCTAAGGACACGACCTCACCGAGGTGGTTTCCTGTTGGAATCAAAGCCGTGAGTCCCACTTTCCCTCCCACATCAGTTGTTGCTACCGATCACAGCTCCCAGTAGTTCGAAAAGCAGCTGGAAGCAGTTTCACCCCAAGACAAGCCATGAGCACACCAAACCTGGGCCCAAGCACCTAAAAATCAGAGATGGGACAAAAATGTTCCAAGACATTTTGCCACCTGGAGGATGTAGGATGCATCTTTCACCCAGAGACTCACACCACCTGTGCACCCCAGCTCCGGGCAGAGGCTGGTGATATGCCCTCATGGGGCTCACCACAGAGTGTGCTTCCCAGGGTCTGTCCTGGCAGCACAGGAGTCCTGCAAGATATCCCAGCACCACCAATCTCTGCAGCTCCTGCCCGCACCGCCAGCCCCATCTCCTACCTGTGCAGTGCTGCCAGCTCCTGCCACCCCCGCCGCACACCCACTGGAGGAGGACAGCCCAGAGCAGCAGGGCCAACATGGAGCTGCCTTGGGGGTGCTCAGCCCTCTGGGTGCTCTCGCATCGTCTGTCGGAGCAGGGCTAAGGGCCGGCTCTCCCTGCCCCTGCGTGGGCACTGCCCGGCTGCAGGCTGTGCTGGGCTGGCCGCGCTGCACAGACATTTAAATGGGAAGACGGCGGTGGGAGAGGAGGAGCCCCGTTCCTTCAGAGAGCTTTTATCTTGTGCCCAGCCCTCTGGAAGGCGGCTTTTGGGAGGGATTTTTTTTTTTTTTTTTTTTTTTTCTTTCACTTCCTTTCAGTTTTGGTGATTCATTTTTCTGAGGTCATATGGGGGAAGGCAGGACATGGGCTCCCACAGAGGCCAAGGTGGGCACCATGCTTCCTCCAAACGCACCAGGCTGTCAGCAGCAATTCCAGCCTGTACTGAGCAGATCCTCCAGTTTGCTATACCCTGCTCCAAGAGCCAGACCCTACGAGGGACATTTCCCTCCCTTCCAGGTGTTGTTTGGTCACTCTGCCCACTGCCCAGGGCACAGCTGCCAGCCTAGGGCTGGGCATCGCAGCTGGACCTGCCATGGGGAGGGCAGGGACGTGCCAAGTACCAGTTCAGAAACCCTCGAGGTTACAGCGCTCAAACAGGAGACAGCAGTGGAAAAACTCTCTGCGCAATGCGAGCGCTGTTTGGTTCCTCTTGCCACAAAGCAAGTCACTTCCATCCTCCAAACAATTGAAATTAGCTCCCCCCACCCCAAAGTTTTCCTGCAAGGCAAACTGCAGAATGGAAAGCTGACGGCCAGCACAAAACGACAGAACATCAAGAAGCAAACCAGGACGTTTTTGGAGACAAACCACCAAAGGTGCACATGCCAACACAGCCCTCGGCCCGAACCTTACAGTGACCACTGTGCCCCACAGCCCTGCAGTCACTTCATGTGGCAGTGCTGCACACATGCGTCATGATAGCATGGCCTGGACAGCTGGCAGCATGTGGGGACATGCGTCAGCAGCCAGATCTGTACGTGCTGCCCAAACACCAGCAGGGAAGGCTCCCCACCAGCGCACAGCTAACACTGGGGACTTCACTGGCTAAAACACCACTGGCAGCCAAGGAGGACACCAGCAGACCCAAGGTCACAGCCCATCTGTTTCCTGCAAAAGCAGAGAGATGCAGACATGTCAAGAGGTGGGAGAACAAACCTCACGTGCTTTTGGCAGACAGGGCTGGCCGTACAGCTTGAGGTTGAAGCTGGTGAGGAGAGGGACAGCAACAGCCCCAAGGGGTTTTCACTGTTCTTCAGCTTGGGAACCTGTAGGTGATGTGCCCTGGGGAACCAACCTGAGCTGTTAAACAAGGGCTTGGGAGCATCTATGCCCGTGGCTGTGCTCAGCCCAAGACCTGCTCCTTGTCCCAGCAGCACTAGCAATAGGGCTGCAGAGCTGTTCCTAAATACCCATGAACATTCTTGTGCTCACAAGCAACTGAGAGAGGATAGAATGAGACAAACAGAGGAGATGTTTGCCTAGTTCCTATGGGTTGTAAATAAAACCATGTGGCAGTTCTGAACAAAACGATCCTTGGACTTCTCCCAAAAAAGTTGGGCCATCCCTGGATGAAGAAAGGTTGAGAAGCATGTCTGTGGACAGCACATTTCAAACAGAGCTCACAGAGAACAGAGTGAGAAGGACACCCGCATCACCGCAGGGGTCCTGCCCACAGCCTAATTGCTCCCTGGGAGCTCCGGAGGGACTCAGCACCAGGTCCTTCCCAGGGACCATAGAGCAGCCCAGCGAGGATGGAATGCATGGGTTTGCTCCTGGCTGATGCTCCCAGCAAACATGAGAGACAAATTATCACATGGGAGCAAGCAGAAAACCCAGTGCTGGCATCCCCCTTCCTCAGCTCTGCTCTTTCTTCTGAGTCAAGATCCTTTCCCACGTTCCCTGGAGCAGCTGCGGCTCCCCAAGGCCAGCCCTCAGAAATACCCACACCAGTAAACCTGTCAGCAGCACCCAGCGACCGTGGCTGCCATTAACCCCATCCCCAGTTAAAAAACTTCATTCCAAAATTTCTGGGAGGGGTTCTGCCACAACAGTTTTGGCAAAGGGCCACGTGGATTGCAAAAGGCACCATTTTTAGGAATTGCCACTGCAAAATCACAAAGCGCTCTGACTGCATGCCTTGCCACCAGCTCCCAGAGGCAATTCCTGTCCCACCATCCCACCCTGCTGCAGCACCAGCACCCCATGGGCTTCCAGAGATAGCAGCCTCCTGCCCTGCATGGGAAGCCCTCGGTGTTGGCCTTGCAGCAGGCAGCCAGTGGGTGACAAATGGATGGAGAAACTAAGGCAGGGAAACCCCAGGACTTGCGCCCACATGCCTGGGACGTTCTGTAGTTCTGATATGCTCCCTGATCCTACACTCACCAGCCCTACCAGCAGCTGGAGATTCCCCAACCCAGGCACCAAACGTGGTCAGAGCCACTTCGCTCTGCTGCTGCAAGAAGACACCCTGCCCTGTGCCAAAGCAACTCATGGCCCAGTTGCACAGCTTTCCCCATGGACAGCTCATATTATTGTTAATGATGATTCAGGCTTTGTCAGCTCAAGCTTAGGCAATAGCTGCCCATGTTTACAGGCCAGTGGCGAGCACTGCCCAACATCCAAACACACTTCTTGGAAGAAGGCTGAGGGCAGCACGGTGCAGGGGCAATGCACTCTGCCCACCCGCACAGCTCCTTCTTCCGCAGCATCCGGGGAGGGAAGGGAACAAAGAAGGAGAACAATTGCTATTGTTTCTGCAGACGTTCACAGGGCTGGTTCCGCTGCTGCCCAGAGACGCCGGCCACACAGAGGCCCTGCCACGCTTGGAGCTGTACTGATGGCAGCTTCCATCCCCATCCCAACCTGCTCACAGAGCTTGGTGTGGAGCGCCAGGGACCCAAGGGCTGGGCAAGCTGACCACCAGGCAGCATTGGTCCTGAGCTGGCCCGATAGAGAAACCCTATTGGGCCATCGCCAGTAGGCAAGCATCCCACATGCTATTCAGATTCTGCAGGGCCTCCTGAGGCTTGGCTGTACCACCAGGTCCAGGAGCCTCCTGCAAGAAACGCCCAGTCCTGGAGAGCCAGAGAACGGGGCAAGCCTTGCCCCCGCATGAGATTTCACCCACCTGAAGTTGTTGTCACGCTAGCCCAAATTTGGGTTGCAATTTGCCAAATTGTTTTGGCATGGGAAAAAAAAAAAACCTGCTTTGGGGCAAGACAGCTAACCTGGCCGTGGGCGGAGAGACTGCCAGCACCCGGCCCAGCATCCAAGAGCGTGGGTGCCCCACACCTCCCGGCATGCTGCATCTTGCAGCCTGCTGCTTTGAACCCACCTCCTGCAGCCCCCAGCCTCTCAGCCCACAGGTGCCCGGTTCTGTGCAGCAAGGGGAGGCTGGAGCTCACGCACGGCAGCTACCCTGTAATAAACCACTGTCCATATCATTACCATTAATTATATATTAACATACCCCATAATCTGAGCTGCTGCTGCAGTCCCATCCCAGGGTGTGAGCTGCTTTCAAAAGCCAGTCACAGTATGGGATTGAGTCAGCACAAAATGTGTCATCTGATTCAGGTAGTGGCGACAGACCCAGTGCTAAGCATCTTCATCCTGTTGGTCTGTCAGCCACAGCCTGTACCCAGAACGATACGATGCAGTGCCCTACAAGTGGATGGTGAGTGGTCAGCAGCCTCAGGAAGAAATACTGCAAGAATTGCTGCTGCAAGTCTGCCCTCATGTTAAACTGCTCTATGTGAGTAAGAAGTGCTCAGTATTTAGAGGTCTTGTTGCATAGTTTGCATCTTAAAAACAGTTAAATAGCAAATATATGCTGAATCTAACAACTCCATCGTGCTCCCCTGATCTCCAGCTGAGGCCACGCTGCAGGTGGCTGTGCCTCTCTGCTCTCCCCGAGGCAGAAGGCACACAGCATCCTTCCCAAGATACAACACAAGTCAGAGGAAAGCAAGAACCTTCCAGAGATGCAGAGCTCCATCCTGAAGGCAGCACACCACCTTTCTTCCATTCACATCCAGCCAAAAAAAAAAGCAGGAGAGCACCCTCTTGATTGCTCTGCCCTGGAGCTGCAGCCCTTTCATGTGGTTCCAACGCCTCTCCCACAGCAGTTTGCACTTTCAAAGAACTGTGTGCATGCACACACACACAACACAATTACTGAATGGCTTGCATCCCACTGTGTGTGTTCTGACACTGCTCCTTTTGCCAAGAAGAAAAAAAGCACACGCATGTATATGTACTCATACACAAAGGCTCTCGAAAAGACACTGCTTGCATTTTTACAGCTCTGTTGAAGCCTTTATATACAGATAGATAGATATAAGCCTAAGGCAAATATAACCCACAGAAAGAGTTTGTGTCTTTTTTTTTTTAATCTTTAATACTTTGCTTGCATGCGTAACACCTGTAGCATTCTGACACTCCCCAAGGAATGTATTTTATAGTAAGTGTTGCAGGCAGAAAAAAAGGCAATGGCTCAGAAAATTATTGCTACTGGCTAGCATTACACACCTTGTTAGCGTGAGTACTCTTTCAAGGAGAGGATTAAGCTTTCAGGGGAGGCTATTGCAGCATCCAAGTGGCAGCTTTACAAGCAGGAAGGCCGGGGTGTTCCCCAGCCACAAAGAACAACTGCCTGTGCATGGAAACTCTCAGTGCAGGCTGTGCTGAGCTCCACTTGAGAGCTCTGTTTTGGGGCACTGTCCAATTCCTCCTGAGAATCACCAACTAATTGTCCTTCTCCAATCTGGTATCGGCACTCTCGGGATGATACACAGCAGCTCATGATTCACCTGTTGCCATAACAAGGCGTTTCCAAGCCCAGAGACTTAGATCATCACAAAACCTTTGTCAGAGGCAAACTGAGTCACATCTGCTGGCTGCCAGATTTTTAGTTTTCTTTGAAATATCAAGTGATTGCCATCACTAGAGACAAGATACTTGCCTGGAAAGCCCCAGCAACTGCATCAAGTCTTTCACATTTCTAAAGCATCCCCAGTGTTTTACTTGCATTACCACAAACTCTTCCACCCCATTGGCCCACAGTGAAACTGGACTCTTGACCAGCTGTTTACCCATTAAAAACACTTACTGGAATATATTTGCATATATTTATGAAAGGAAAAAATATAATCACTTTATTTTCAGAATACAGACTAAATCCCACTGTAAAATAATGAGCAAACAGACACAAATAAAACACTCCGCACTTAAAAAGAGCCTCACTTTGCCATTGTCTGCTGAACACAGCGTTTGCTCTGCGGTGCACACAGCTCTCCAACAGCAGCTGAGTACTCACAGGAGCTACACTTCATATATTATAACCCCAAAAACTACTCTCATTTTGCATATAAATGCTACATTTTCCTGTACGCCTTGAAATACTAGTTAGGTACAATACTACCTTGTCATCTCTGCTCCCACGCTATGCTGGGTCCCCCTCACACCCTTCCAAAGTGACAAGAATTACTTCTACAGGGGTAAGCTCAGCAATACAAACTCTGAATTTAAAGATGAGAAAGGTGGCACCCAGCAATCTGCAGCCTGTGAATAAGAAGCATGTGCAGCATGGATGTAAATACAGTCAAGTTCAACACACACACATGCACACAATCTAGTCCATAAAGCTTTCTGCACAGCACAGCTCCTTCCATTCCCAAGCTTCTCCTAGAAAAATTAGTCCTTCTCAAATGTAATTCATTTAAAGCAGCCAACAAAATTTCATTTCACATGCCATCAATGGTCGTTGCTGCTTGTAATAAATTGGAGATTTGGCTTTAAACAAGAGACTCACTTGCAAAACACAAAGGTCACCAGTGGCTCCTACGCAGCTTCACAAAGCATTGCAGATGGTCATCTCCTGCCACCAGAAGTGGCCTACAGTGTTCTGCCATTTTAAACAAGCATCTTATCATTCTCCAGAGAACACAACTGAGGTTGCCTGCGACTCCTACTTACAGCATTCAGCATAAAGAAGCATTACAGTCCATTTTACAAAACTCACTGGTGGCAAAGGCTCCTTCACCTGAAAACTGGGTGACCTGGACTGTGATGGTAAAGGCCAGCAATGTCTCATTTTCTGCGTCCAAATGGCTACAGGAGAGAAGAGCTGACATAACTGCAGAGATATCTTACATCCCCCATGGAGCAGGAACAACCTCATTGCATCTTCAGGCTGCAGATGACATACCTAGGGCTCACAGTGATCCTGACCCAAGTATTAAAAAACTCAGTCTTTACACCTTGCACCTCCAATTGAATGTAAAGTTTACAATGAATGCCTTCAAGGAGCAATAAAGCAATTATTGGACCTTCTTCCAAGCAAACCCTAACTCAATGGCTCAGTACAAATTCACAGTGTAACGGAGGAGTACCAGCCAGTTGCTAGCAATGACCACAGTGGATCTTCAAGTTAGAATGGTGCTGAATCACTTCCTATGTTAAACCATTCTGTCTACAACCCTGTTTTATAGCTTCTCTGGTTAACCACTCTTCAAATCAGTTCTGACTGCAAACTCTGTCCTTAACTTAGCTGGTATAATAAAACTAATAATTATTTTCTGCCTACTGGTGTTCCCAATGCAATGCTGCCTATGCAAATGTAAAGCTAATCCTCCAGCAGGTGATCTAACTCAGGGCTGTTCTCCAATAGCAGATTGACAGAAGCAGGCTGCAGATTGCAAAGTCTCCAAGCTTTCCATACCAAAAGTGAGGTAGCAACAAAGAGCCTTTCAAACAGCACTGTTCCCATTATTTTCCCCAGCAATAAATCCCTTTCCCATACAATTTAGTGAGTAAACTAGAGGCTTCTGTGCAGCAGCGGAAGCAGAAAAGAGATGGCAAATAAATAATGAAGGATAAGAACTAGACCAAAAGTTTTGCAAAGTTTTCCTTTTTGGTACCAGCACTGAGCACTGCTCTTTTTCAGGTGGAGAGAGATACAAAACATTTCAGTCTTTTTGTGAGCTTAAAGTCCAAGTGACTTCTGCACAATCTGCTTGGCAATTTTATTAAATTGTTCTCTGTCTTCCCGCCACATCTTGGAGGCATCTACATTGGCTCCACTTTCATCATTTGGCTCTGAAACGAGAGAGATGGAAAGGTCTGTGGGCAAGCAGGGGACTGAGCAGCATCAGCTCATTTCTTCAGCAACGTCTGCACTGTCACTTCCCTGTGGCTCTGGTATACTTCCCCTGCTCGGCACAATTAAAGGAATTATAGTTGTAGCTGCTGGACTCCCTAACAGCTCTCATTTAATAAGAGAACACCGCAGCAAGGTAGGCTTCAGGCAAGAAACAAGTGGCAGAGAAAGACTGTTTCACTGGTGCTCTGGGGAGCTGAGCCCCAACATGCAGACAGAATACCACTGTGTGTCACCAGCAGTGCTGTCAAAGGTTTGTAAAACTGCACAGGGCTCCCTGCTACATATTTGTTCTGGTTCTGTGGCTTCACAAACACAAAGCCCCACAAAGCAGGCCACCCAAACAGGCTCTGCCCCTCTTTTGGATGGTTAGTTTTTTTTAATAGAACAAACAACACAAAACTCATCGTAAAATGCTTTCATTTCTGCAATATCTTTCATCTGAGGATTTCAAAGTGCTTCACAAAGTACGCTAAGACCTTGCAACTCAAACACTTATTTTTGTAGAGAAGTAAGCTGAGGCAGGGAGTTTTTCAGGTTCATGGTCAGCATGCAGCAGGACAACTGTCACAAGATTATACAAGCCACTCAAAACACACTCTGCTCTGTTTCCCATTCTGGTCCAAATACACAACTCTACACTACCCTTAAAACCCAGCAGTCAGGATAGATGCACAAGACACTGTTTGGTAAATTCGGGTTTGCTCTGTTGGCAGATCCACAGCTGAGAGCTTGCCAGCAGCCTGAAGGGAGATGACAATTGATGTTTTACACTAATTCCTCTAAAAGCCATGGGGAAAACAGGATGAGAACAAGAGGGACCAGATGATTCCCCAGTAGAGCAGTCTAGGTAAGGTTGTACAACAAGCCATGTTCCTGGAGGGCACAGGGAGCCCAACAAGGCACTGGTCTCTAGACAGATTCCATCAGCAGGTTGCTATTTTGAAGCTGACACAGTCACAGATAAGAATCTTTTGCTTGTTCTTTGATCAGCTTTGCTGCTTCCAAAACCTAAACCTTCATCATTCCAAACTGATTCTTGGGGACACGCTTCTGCCTTTTCAGGCAGTTCAACAGCACTGTCCACAACGTGCAAAATATCCATCAGGAAGATGTGCATGAGAGATCTGATCCATAGTTCTTGCAGGATTTAAAGTAAGAAGTTGCACTGACTGTTTTTACCACACTCTACTTCTCAAGAAGGCTTCCTTTATATCAGAGATGGCAGAATGGGGTACATTTCCCAGGCTGCCAAACAAACAGAAATCAAGGGAACTGGCTGGGGAATAGAGGCCATGGACTCTTATCTAACATGCTGATTTATCTGCCTCATAATCCTTCAGTTGCTAAAGCCAAATCCATTACTGCTTTGTGCAAGAGGACCCATTACCTGACCATCACCCTGTGCCTGGCTGCTGCTGACCAGAAGGAACACAGTGCAGTTGTCAGAAAGCTGGAAACCTGTTTACTAATTCAGTCTTTTTTTTCCCCCCTAATTATTTTTAAAAAATTGGTTTATTGATAAATAAATATTAAGTACTATGATTGCTTCCAAGTAGCTTAAGTGCAAAAATGCAAGGAGAAGCTTTAGCTATGTATCAAGCAGAAGCTATCTGAGCTCCTGCTAATGAAACTCCAGCCCTTACCTGCCAGCATGCTAACGACAGACAAGAGGATCTTTTCCACACTCTGCACAGGACTCCACCGCTCAGCACTGCTCTCATATCCCATGGGATCATCGCCAGGAGCGTGAAGAATAGAGATGCAAACTCTCCCATCTGGGTAAACTGTGCAAGAAGTACAGGGGATTAACTATTACTCTAAGGAAACACTTAGCCCTTCTAGATCTTTCAGGCTTTGCCTACATATGACTGATATAAACCCAGTTTAAAATTTCCTTTTGCAAAAAACCTGGAAGACAAAAATCTAACAAAAGCTTCTGTTAAACAAATTTACAAATCATCTACTCCAAGGAAAGCTTGCTGGAAGCACTCAGATCACTTAGCAACCAATGAGAGGTTCAATGAGAGGAACAAGTAAGAGCTGCAGCCTGGTGGAACAAGCCCAGCATTAGTGCACAGCTAGAGCTCCAAGTAGGTGACTATTGTCCTGCTTAAATCACAG